CATTAGTTTGTTCTCTATATCTATGAGTGTGTTTTGTTTATTTTGTTTTTTAGATTCCACATATAAGATTAAGATGGCCATATATTTCAATAATGATATGACAAAGCATTTCTTTGTGGAAGGGTAGTGGTCACTGTTGATTGCTTACCAGCATCTAATACTCACCTCATTTTTATATCATTTGATTCATCAATTACACTCCTAGGCATACACTCAAGAGAAATGAAAACATGTCCACACAAAAACTTGTTCACATATGGTCACAGCATTTTCATAATACCAAATTATGAAAATAATCCAAATATCCATTGACTGATGAATGGATTAATTAAATGTATAGTATGTAAAAAAAAAAAAAAGTACCCAAATTTTTGTTGAAATATTTAGCCCTCTACCAATAGCTCTGATATATTTTAGGAGAAGCTAACACTTTTCTGGTCTAAGTGTAACTCTATCCTTATTCAAATGAACAATCCAGGAGCCCAAATTTAAGATAGTCAGCACATAGAATTTTCCAGATTAAGAGACTGGATGTTTACAGAGGAGCTTGGCTGTTCTGGAAGCCCACTTTTTCTTTTATGTCTATACACAGGGGTGTAGGGAGTGATGGGTGTGGTCTTCTCTGGTTACAAGCAGTAAGAGGGAACATTGTAGAGAATTTAAAGACAATGATACCAACCAAAAACTGATCTGCTTTTATGTATAAAATTGTTTTTATTTCATCTTCATTTTTATTGAAATTTTGTTATAATTATTGATTTGTATACAGTTGTAATAAATAATATAGAGAGATCTATATGTTTTTCCAATACCCCCACTGGTAACATTTTCAAGCCTATACTACAATATTACAACTTATATCCGCCAAACTTATTTTTTCCCCCAATTTTACTTGTACTCATTTGTATTTAGTTCAACAGTATTTTATAATGTGTAGCTTTGTGTATCCACCATCACAACCAAGATACTGAGCAGTTCCTACACCACAAAGATTTCTCATGTTGGACTATTATACCCATACTCACCTCCCTGCCCTGCTCCTTTCCCCCTTCCACTATCTCTAACCTCTGCCACCCACTAATCTGTTCTCCATTTTTTTAAATGTTTCAAAAAGTTAGATGGAACCATACAGTATGTATTCTTTTAGGAATGGCTTTTTTTTTTTTTTAACTCAGTGTAATTCTCTGAATATTCATGCAAGTTCTTGTGTGTATCGATAATTTGTTCCTTTTTTTCTGAGTAATATGCCATGTATGCACCACGGTTTGTTTAACCATTCAGCCTTTGAAGGGAATCTAAATGGTTTCTAATTTTCTGCTATTACTAATAAAGCTGTTATTAATATTTATGTACAGAGTTTTACTGTGTATATGTGGAGGGGGGGGGTTGGTTATCACCCTATGTTGGCGATTCTAAGCTGTCTGCCCAATCATTCTCATCAACCTACTCCCTGCCTAATACACCACTCTCTCTGCCTCTGTTGCTGCTCTCGCCATTCTCAGCAGTGCTGCTGCTGTTTCTGGTATTGGAATTTTATCTGTCTTCCTTGGACTGGAGGGCAGTAGAGAGAAGGGGGGGGGGGGGAGAAGGCAGCTGTGGTGACAGTTCAGCCAATAAGAAAACTCAGATCAATTCTGGGCAAGACCTCTTCTCTCTTCATCTGCTCCCCTTGCCTCCTGGTGACTAATGCTCTTATTTTCTGATACAAAATTCAGAGGGTAATACTTTTCTTCCCTTAGTTAATGTACCCCACCCACCTTCTGGATTAAAAATCATCCTATAGAGGAACCATCATTGGGTCAGGTGTGCATGCCTAGTGTAATTCATAGCCATTCCCAGGTAAAGAACATCTACTTCCCCAAACTGTGGAGCGGGGTTATTTCATCTGTGGGCTGTGTAATTTCATGGTGTGTGTGTGTGTGTGTGTAATTTCTGCTAAAAGGAAGCACAGAATGAGCCATTACTGCCATGTCCAGTAGATATCCATCTTATCTGTCTTCAGCCACACAAAAAACAAGCAAATATCAATAAAATACAAAATGTTGAACTTTAATAATGTCTTTTTAAAAAATATTTTAAAATATGCTTTTACTTTATTTTTTACTTTTTTAAATTAATTATTTTTGTTACAGATGTTTTTCCTTTTTCTCCCCAGACACCCTTCTTCCTATCCCACCCCACCCCCCACCCCACAAGCACTGTTGTTGTCTGTGTCCATTGGTTACACATACATGCCTATAAGTTCTTTGGTTTATCTTTAAAATAAGTTTGTAAAATGAGCTCCAATAAAATAAGGTTAAAATTATCTGCAAACTAGTAAAAAGTTAAGTGATATATATATATATATATATATATAATATTACTTAATTTTATATATATATATAATATTACTTAATTTTATATATATATAATATTACTTAATTATATATATATATATATATATATATATATATATACTTTAGTTTGGGAAAGTTGATTTGTAGCCCTTCCTCTTTTTAATAGAGATTACAGATTTGGCTTGCTGATAAAGTCCTTCGGGGTCCAAGATAATAAAAACACAATGTATAAAAGCGCTTTGTGTTCCATTAACAAAAGAGTTCTCAGATCAAGATACAATTTTTTTTTAAGTGGCTAGTAAACACTCTTTCCTCTAATGCAGGGGTTGGTAAACTCTGGCCAGCCTGCCACCTGTTTTTGAAAATAAAGTTTTATGAGAAGACAGTCACACCCATTCGTTTATTGATTGTCTATGGCTGTGTTCACACTAGGACAACATATCTGAGTAGTTGCAAAGGTCTACAAAGTCTCAAATATTTACGATTTGACCCTTTACAGAAGTTTGCCTTAATTTAATCTCATTATCAAGGGACCACTGTTCTAATCCTAAGCATTTTGGGTATTCTGCATGAGCATTAATTATGAAAGCCTTTGTTAGCGCATGCAGTTTAACCCAAATTCCTAGTCTACAAAGTTAAAAGTTAAGGAAAGGTCAGTTAGTACAGGTCACAATCTAATAATTTGTATGGAGATTTTCTCCATAAGGCATTATAGGGGAGGAAAATGAGTCTACAGAATTTGCATTAAATAATAATATTGCCTCATATAAAACTCTGCCCTAAGAAACCCAGATTGAAATACCTCAAGTTAGAAGCTGGCATACTTAAAATGTATCTTAGAAGATGAAATATTCAGTAAAATAAAAAGGTATGTATTTTGGAATGAAAAAATATATATAGAGAGAGTACTGGGTAAATCCAGGCATCAAATTCCCTGACCTGATCTGGCAGAGCTGCAAAGAAACTTCCCTATATGGCCTTCATATTTAAAGGATCCCAGAGCGCCTGGCCGGTTTGGCTCACTGGTTGAGCATCAACCCATGCACCAAGAGGTCACTGGTTTGATTCCCGGTCAGGGCACATGCCCAGGTTGTGGGCCCGATCCCCAGTGGGGGGCATGCAGGAGGCAGCCAATAGATGTTCTCTCTCATCAGTGTTTCTATCTCTCTCTTTTGCCCTCCCTCTCTCTCTAAAATGAATAAAGAAAATTTTTTAAATAAATAAATAAAGGACCCCAGAGTGGGGGGTAGTTGCCCACATTTTGTGTCCTATAGAAAGAAACATATCATAACAGTGATGCTGCAAATGCCTGTACAAAGTTGTAACTTTGTCCCCAAGATCCTTAAAAAACATTTTGGCAAGAGACACTTTACATTAAGTAATTAGAGGCCATTTCCAATTAGGTCTGGATTGTCAATATACCCTACCTACATATATCCAAGGATGATGTGGAATGGCGTTAAGTGGAACCATAATGAGAAATACAGGGTTTACAATTAGACAAGGTGAGCTAGAATCTCCTGGACCACTGAAGTTAATGTGTATTGACGGTGGCCATCTAAATCTTATAAAGGCTGAATGCTAAGATTCTTTTATAAGGACTTTAATAAACATGCAAAGGTCGATTTTACTGAATTACTAGACATTGAAACTATAAGCCTCTTAAGCCACAAATATAGCTCCAACTTCTGGATTATAAAAAAAATTCTCCTTGGGGAGATTCTAACACATAGGGTAAAATTCATCTCTCAAACTTTGCTTTGGTGTCTGCTATAAGAAAGACCTAGTTTCTTTGTTATAAAATGTCACAGATTTTTCTCCCATTTTTAAAAAAGCTGTTATCAAGAATAGACAAGTTATTTTTTCTTCAAATTTTGAAAATATAATGTGCAGCATCATAAAATTACTTTTAAAAAGTGATGATTTAGCCTGGCCGGAGTGGTTCAGCGGTTGAGTGTCGACCCATGCACCAAGAGGTCACCGGTTCGATTCCCAGTCAGGGCATATGTCAAGGATGTGGGCCCAATCCCCAGTGGAGGGCATGCAGGAGGCAGCCAATCAATGTTCTCTCTCATTAATGTTTCCATCTCTCTCTCCCACTCCCTTCCTCTCTCTCTAAAATCAATAAAGAAAAAAAATTTTAAGTGATTTACGTAGGCGGTGAAAATGCTTTTAGTGACTCATAATTAGATTACCCCCAACTTGAAAAGAAGAGCAAAAGTACTTTTTACTAGAGAAAATGTAATGAGATGTTGTCATCATTTAGGGCAGCATACTGGTACTTTACAAACATAAAATTATAGCTTTACAAAAATCTGAGTTAGTATTTACATTTGAATACACAAATTTTATATACTTAAAGTCATTAATTAAAAAAAACACAGTTCAATAGCAAATTGACAAACAGGACAAAATTCCTTGCCCAAAGTAGTCATTAAAAGCTAATAAATAGTTATAGAATATATTTTACACTGACTTTTTAAAATGAAACTTTGTGTTAAAATCATAAAATAAAGGGCATAAAATAGAAGCCATTAATTATATTGTAAATGTGAATCCTGGGTTTGGCTTGCTATTTCAACAGTATTTATTCTGTATGATATATCTATGTGGTCTGACATGTATTTGTCTTCCTCATTTCTCCTACTTAAAATTTCTTAGAGTAAGCACAATGCCATTTCTTTATTCAATAATCATCAAGAAGCAAAAGTACAGCACAGTAAGATAATCTTTATTATACTGTAACTAGAAACAGCAGATAGCAAGTTCATAAGGTATTTTTGATTATTATTCTTTTAAGATCAGGCTTCAATAACAATAATCAAAACGAGTCTTAACTGCACAAATATTTTGGTCACTACTGTAATCTTCAAGGGCACAAAAGCCAGCAGAATGAATTAACATAAAGGTAATGACTATGAGAATTTCCCACGGGCCAAAAATGTACATCACTGCATTAAACTTTACCCCTGTGTTCTCTTAATATTCTTCTTAAACACTGAACAATTATTGTTACTCAGCAAAATATCAAACATGCACATAGTATTCCTACAAGAATACTATCTTAATAGTGTCAGTATTAACACTAAGCTTTTCTTTCCCACCAAATTCAATGAATCATGGTCCCAGTCCCTATATGTATTAGCATTAGTGGTAATATGCAAACACGAGTTTATTTTCAAGATTAAATGGCAGATTGACTTCGCATTTGGCAGCCAGCTGTGTACTTTAATTTTTAAATAAATTTAACTACATTTCATAAGCCCTGAGATTTTCAATACCTTGCCAATGATTGTATACTTTTAATTTATACTTCATTCCAATTAACTTGAACCCCACATAAGTACTTTAAAATATTTACAGATGGTTGTAACTAAAGCAATGATAAAATTTACTACTTGTACAGTAAGACTGCTAATAAGGCCTTTAACTAAGAGCTGCATACTTCACGCGTTTTTAACTTCCTAAGAGCAATTCTTAAAATTACAGCTATGATTCTTTGTCAGCAATAAGTGCTTTTCACTTTGCTTACTTCTACATGGATAACCAGATTCACTTTTTCTCTCTCTTGTAAAGCAACTTTTTTTCTTCCCCAAACATAAATGTCAATAGTCCAACTGAACAGGTGCCAAAAGAAACTTAGAATGTGAACAGCAGATTGATAACTATAATGACTAGCAGAGAAATAGGCTCATAACAGACATTCAATAGTGTCTGTTACACACAGAATGTGTGAATTGTAAGGCAGCTGTCAGTCAGATAGTTTTCATCATACACTGTAACTCATTTTGTTTAACTGGCTAATTCAAGATTACCAGATTTAATTCGCCCTCAAACATAGATCCAAGATTATGAAATTTTAAAAACTGTTTTAATCATTCTCAGAAAATATAAACAAGTTAATAGTAGTTGCACACTGCGATATTAATTGAGAGAAAAAAAGGATTACTTTCTACTAAGCCATAGGTACAACTGAGGAGAAGAAATACAAACATAAGAAGTGTTAGCTAATTATTATTTTCTCCAGATTTATCCTTGCAGCATTTTGTTCATATATGTATCCCTGCTAACTTCTCTGAAGCTGAAAGAAAGATCATTTTACTATCTGAATGGATTTCCCTATCTCCTTAGGTACATAATGTTAGTGAAAAGCTGGTGTAAATATAAGGTTGTATTTTCATGTCATGCCATGTTTCTGTATTTGTTTCTGCTGACATTACATTTTTCCTACTGAAATGATTCTGTACCTATAGAATATGAGCTAACCTGCCAATTTACTATGAGATTGCTTGCTTATAACATTCAGTTTTTGTTGATAGCTTTGAAGCATATTGCACACTTGTCATCTAGCATATTAATAAGTAACTTATTCTTTTTAGAAAGGATACACTGACAAATTCTTAAGTTAATGGCTTTGGCCAAACATTTTTAGTCTGTCACAGGACAATGGCAATGGCAAAAACATGGACGATACAGTTCATGGTTCGGTTCTCCCACCGTACGGTACAGGTTCCTGAAAACACACACACAAAATGACTTTGAAATACCAACAAAACATCAAAATTAGCAGAAAACGTACATATGCATTTTCATAGGTTTTAATCGCTTGTTTCCTGCAGTCTGTTAAATGTTCACATTTCATATTTGTCTAAAAGCACATATGTTAGTTTTGATTAGGTACAAAGCAATACTGTTGATAAAGTCTTTTCAGAATTTAATTAGAGATAAATAAAGCATCTGATAATAAGTACACTGTGACTTTGCTAGAAGTTGGATATTGTTTGAATCAGCTTAAGGTCTCTTACCATCAGATGTGGTATCCCAAAAGCATGAGCTGGCTGTGTGAAAGCCATATGCACTTCTCTGGACCACTGCACAGGTCACTAAAAGTAAAGTCACAGAGTGAGGATACTTATAAACAAAGAAAAAGATATCCAAGATTTAAGTGCTTAAGTTCAGAGCTTTAAAAGGTGTACAAAAATAGAAAACAAAGCATTTAACAAATGAATTAAAAAAATAATAGTCCCTCATCTTGATTATCTACCATGATTTTGTCCCCACTGGGTCCAGTCTGTTGCCCATTGCCATAACCACTGGTTATGTACCCTACATCATGGGCGTAATTCAGCCAAAGAAAATATTCCACTTCACAAAGAATTTTTGTGTGATACTTCATAGTCCTACATATAAGGAGACACGGGGTTACTGAAAAGAAGACAGTAGTGCTCAGTTGGTTTCAGTAGAAAGAGCTAACTGATGTAAATGTGAAAAGTGGTACTACCAAGAAAAAATAGATGGTTGACAGAAGCTCAAACTGCTTTTGAATAGCAAAAGATCTCCTTCTTTTAGATAGTATCTTATATTATCTTTTCATAAATAATTCAGAAGTCCTTCAAACCCTATTAGTATCCAACTATAGTGTCTATCATTCATTTATATTCTCTAAATTTGGAGAAAATCACAAGGGCAAACAAAGATGAGTGAATTTCTAAGGAAAGACAGTGGTACTTACCAATATATTTATAAGCTTTTCCCAACTTAACCAAATGTGCTAAGGATTGTTCCACTATGCTTGCAGTCCATTGGTTGATGTTGTTCTGATTATAATCTTCACCACCTAAAACTCCATCTATACACTAAAAGGGCAGAGGATATTCAAACAAATTATACACACATTGTAGCAAAAATGTATTCAGAACACAAAATACATTTATAACCCAATAGAGCATCTTAGAAAATATGCATCTAGTAAGTATTTATTAAGCAGTGTCTCTAATAGTTTAAGAATTTTCAAAGCGTTTCTGTATGCATTATCTCACCCTCTGAGATACTATGGGTCATGTAAAGATAAGTATGAGACGGCCTCTGTTGTAAAGAACTTACTCTAGCAAAGAAGCTAATAATTCTGTAACACAAGGAAGACTAATCAATGGTGATAAATTATATCATAGAAAGATTATGCGGGTAGAAATTGAAAAAGGGTGATGTCAACTGATTAAAGAATATCTTTGAAACAGTTGGGATTTAAACTAGGTTTCAGATGGTAAAAGCAAAGGATGAGACCAACTGAAAATGTAATTATCATGAATAATAATTATATTCTTATTCACATTATGGAATTGCTTAGCTATAAAACTAGCACACCTGCCATTAAAAGTAAATCATCAACAAACACTATATTCTGGATGAATGCTCTATAAAGGGAAAGTTAAATAATACTTCCATTCACTTGTGATATCTTATTAAAAGCACCTGTTTAGAATCATAGTGTTTGGTTTTAAGGTCACCACTGCCACCTACTCCCTGTGTGACCTTTTGTGAGTGACTTAACCTCTTGAAACCCCTATTTCCCTATTGCTTAAAGTAGAGATATAACAGCCTCATCTCATCAGGTTGTTGTGAGAATAGAAGGGGATAACGAGTGCCATGTGCTCAAAACACAGCGACTGCCACAGAGTAAGCACAGTAAGTCATGTTAGATATTATTATTATCATCATCATTATCATTATTGCTGCTTGTTGTATTTTTCCAGTTTGACTGAAATATAATAGACATGTAACATCAGGTAAGTTTAAGGTGTACAATGTGATGATTTGATACACGTATATATTGTGAAATAATTACCATGATAAGGTGAATTAATGTACCCATCTTCTCACAGTTATTATTTTTGCATGTGTGTTAAGAACATTTAAGATCTATTTTCAGCAACTTCCAGGTATACAATACAGTGTTAACTGTAGTTACCATGCTGTACATTAGATCCCCCCAAATTAAGTTTGTACCCTTTGATATACATTTCCCCATTCCCCCTGCCCTCCAGCCCTTGGCAACCACCATTCTACTTTTTGTTTCTATGAGTTCTACTTTATTTATTTATTTATTTATTTATTTATTTATTTATATCCTCACCCAAGGACATTTTTCCATTTTTTGTTCAGATAGAGTGGGAGGGAGAGAGGGAGAGAGAGAGAGAGAAACATCAACGTGAAAGGGACACATCGAGTGGCTGCCACCCACACGACCAACCAGGGCCGGGGACAAACTGCAACCGAGGTACGTGCCCTTAGCGGGAACCGAACCTGGGTCTCTCTGGACCACAGGCCAATGCTCTAACCGCTGAGCCAAACCAGCCAGGGCTGAGTTCTACTTTTTTAGATTCCACATATAAGTGAGATCATACAGTATTTGTCTTTCTCTGACTAATTTTGCTGCTATTATTTTATATTCAAGTAATAGAGCCTGGGTAATAAAGCACTCATTCAATTCATTTATAGAATCTAGCTTAATCAAACACACACACACACACACACACGAGTGTATGCACATATGCAGCTTTCATTTATTACAAATGTAGTAAAAATTCATAAAGGCACAAATTAATATGAAATGTTAAGCTGGACAATATGAAATTTTCACTAATGATAAAACATAGAAAGAAAAGTTAAATTTAGACAAGTTGGAAAAAGGAACAAGGCTCAAATTATTCTCCTGGAGAGTATGCAATAGCATGACAGATGCAGGAGGGCCTGTGGCCCAAGGGTCAGGGCAACAGGGTTCTAATTCTGACTTTACTACCCCAGGGCTTAGGCAAACCTCCTACTCCCTCTATACTGCCTTTCCTAAATGGGAAACTAAGAGCACTAGTTTTTCTTTCGGGTTATCTAAACAACAGAAAAGCATCGTGGGGCTCTGGATCCCACTGTAAATAGCCCTGCTAATTACTATTAATTAACATTTAGCCTTCTTAATTAGTATTAGCCAGGAGGCCCACTAGATAATGAGGTCCTTAACCTGTCTGTATTCCCAGGGCCAAACTCAGGAAGTGGGCACACAGCAGGCACTCAGTAAATGTTTGTTGTTGAAGTAATATTATCTTTAATATACTCTTTGAGTATCCTAAATCAAATCTACTTTAGACTAAATTCCATGTTAATCCCATTTGTAACTCACTTTTTCTCTGAGAAATTATTTGGCGGCTCATTGTATTACTGACAAATGAAATATATGCATTTCACTGATAAGTGAACGGCTCTAAGGACTTCAGAGGGAAAAAATACTAGCACAGGGGCTGGGAGTAAGAAATCTAAGAAAAGAAAAGGCGATTGGAAAGAGATAAGAAAAACAGAAATACCTGCTGAAACTGTGTGCTGAAATGTTTTAAAATAGTGCTCTTTCACTCTCTCAAGCCTTTCCATTGCCTCAGTAGCAAAGAGCTGATTCATGGGAAGAGAGGAGGAGGAAAGAGAATAGACGTGGAGCTGCAAGTCACCTGGAGCAAACGTGAGATTTGTTTGAAGTCTCATATTTCATATAAAAACTTCAAGTGAAGCCTGCTTTTGACTCTATAATATATCAGAGGTTTTTTTTTTTTTAATTAAAAATGTGTTTCGTTAAATTATTTATATTACTTAACTCCCTCTTGCAAGTATTTAAGTAAAACCAATGCTCTAAAACGTACCCAGGGCCTCCTAGCCCCACCTAGCCACCACCAAGTATGTGTATCCCAGTTTAAGAAGCATGGTTCTTTTAATTTAATAAAGCATCAAAGTAACACATGCACACGGTTTTTAAAACCCAACGGAAGAGATCTTTCAATGAAAAGCAAGAATCCCCTCGCCACCCTTTCCCATCCCTAGTTTCATTCCCAAGAGGAAAATCTGTCAATGTACAACTGCTTTTATTTATTCTAAAAGATTACTTAAGTATCTCCAAATAATGTTCATACCACCATTTCTTGATTTATGAATTATAGACAACAGTACTAGAGCTCCTGCTATGAGAGATGAAAATTTAGTTCCCTCAGATCTCCCGCTACCTTCCTCCCTCTCTCCTCAATAGTGAACTCAGTATTTTTACTTATATTTACACTATTAGGAAAATGTTTCTTTTCCACTCTTGGCATTTCTTTCCACACAGAGGATTTTCCCCTAACATTCCTGGCCTCTTGTTCCACCTGTTATTATTCCTCCTCATGGAGGTGGAGTGAATTACTTGGTTAATGAGTGACAACCGTTGTTCCACCATTCTCGTTTGGGAGAGTCAATCTCCCAAATGCCTTGGACTTAAATATTTGGTTTCTCCTTCCCTCTCCACCCAGACCAACAAAAGGCACCAGCCTGGCTAAGTGTTTCTCTCTGTTGACACAATCCTTCCACTGGATGTCTCTTCCAAGGTCTGAACTGAACTGAACAGGTAGGGAGTTAGCAAACTCAGCTCTAATCTCCAACCCAGTTTTAACTAAAAATAAAGATGACATTTTATTCTCTTTCTAGTGACTCTTGTCTTTTCATTTGGCTCAGAATGTGAGTAAAGAAGGTCTGTTTAAAAGGCTCCTCCTTGCCCAGCCAGTGTGGCTCAGTGGGTTGAGCATCATCCCATGGACTGAGAGGTCCCGGTTCAATTCCCAATTGGGGCACATGCCCGGGTTTTAGGCTTGATCCCAGGTGGGAGGCATGCAGGAGGCAGCTGATCGATGTTCCTCTCTCACATCAATGTTTCTCTCTCCCTCTCCCTTCCTCTCTCTCTAAAAATTAAATAAAAACATATTTTTTTAAAAAAGCCTCCTCAGATACCCCAGCATCCTTTTCTTCATGTTCCATCAACCATGAACACTCTGAAAAAGGAGGTTGTGCCCTGGTCAGTTTGGCGCAGAGTTTAAAGCGTTGGTCTGCGGACCAGAGAGTCCCAGGTTTGGTTCCTGCTAAGGGCATGTACCTCGGTTGCAGTTTGTCCCCAGCCCCGGTTGGGGTCGTGCGGGTGGCAGCCAGTTGATGTGTCTCCCTCACATCAATGTTTCTCTCTCTCTTCTTCCCTCTCTCCCTCCCGCTCTATCAGAAGATAAATGCAAAAATATCCTCTGATGAGGATTAAAAAAAAAAGGAGAAAAAGGAGAAAAAGGAGGTTGTTATCACTCCTGCCCTTTCCATGATCTCCATCCCCTCTTCCACCTCCCAAATGACCTCACTTTGCTGCTGTACTGTCAAGGTATTGAAAACATTTGCATTCTGTTTTAAAAATTAAATATTCCTGGGCCACATAGTTCTAATACATATTTCTGAACTATTAAAATATGGCAGGATTTTCAGGTGTCTGCCTAGGCCTCAAGTAGATCCTAGCTGTACAAGGCCAGTCCTGAGTGCTGGCCGGTTTGGCTCAGCAGTTGGAGCATCAGCCTGCGGACCAGAGAGTCCCAGGCTCAGTTCCTGCTAGGGGTAAGTACCAAAAAAAAAAAAAGGCCATCCCTGATTGAGTTCTGGGTGAGCTTGTGCTCCAGAACACTCAGGCAGGTAAGGCATTGTCTCAGGACAGGATGGCAAGATGTTTAATGCCTAGTCTAAAGGCAGGTAGGGTCAGCAAGGACACAGGCCCCAACAGTCACACCGACCAAACAACCCTGCTTTCCAGGCCAGCCCATTTTTTCTAGGATTTGGCACAGTTAAAAATTACTCAGGACTATTAAAAGTGTTCATAAATACCTTACCCACAGTGTAGATGCCACTAGATTAATTCCTTTGCCAGAATTGATTCCCAAAGAGAACTGCTTGTCTATTTGCCTAACAGGAGGGCTACATTGATATTTCAAATATTGTTCTTAAGATTTTTATTTACTGCCCTGGCCAGTTGGGCTCAGTG